CGACCCCTAGGATTCGACTACGCTTTAGATTGAATGCATCTCATAATGAAATTGCTGATATCTGCAGTGCAGACCAACATGAGGATCATTTCCGCAGTGAACACTTTCGGAGAAATCCCTCCAGGCATCAACTCGACTAAATGCCCGTTCCTGAAAGTGTATCCAATCAGGAGTGCAGAAAGACAAGTCGAAATCTCGCTCGTCTTGGCAAGAGTCGGCAGAGCGCCACCGCTAGTCCTATGAAGCTAACCGGAAATGAACTAGTAGTAACCTTACAATGGTCTAGTGTATTTTACCAGGCACATCAACAATAATATGGGGATCCGGTGATCCCTGCGTTGCTTGTTATCCTCTCAGTCCTCACAGCATCTTGATTCTGGAGGACACGGTTCAATATAATGGCCTGAGGGCTTGGGGCTCAATCTAGACTTCTTATTTCTGAAGATTATCTCAAGCAAACAGTACAGCCGGAGGAATATATCACCCTCAATTCTGAAGAAAACCAACATGGGCCAGATGCTGAGCAGCCCCCTTGTTGGCAAGTGGAGTATAAGCGGCTACGTAAAGGTAGTACGTATGGCACATCTATGCGGATTGCGGACTGCTTGGATAGGACGTCGATATGGAGATCGAGTCGGGGTCGGGTGTCAGGCATTTATTTGACAATTGACACATTCTTGAGGGATAGACAGCATGATGGATCAGGCTCCGCCCCCCCTGCTCACTAAGTAGGTATCTATATGTCCATGTCAGCAACGGCCAGGGCATAAGGCACAGACCAGGCGGATTCCCTGGTGCTGTTTCGAAGCCTCTGGACAACCTGTAACAAGTACGGGGACTACAGATTGATAGTCTTGTCCAGAAAGTACTTGTCAAGGCCATGGTCAACTACCTACAGTAGATACTCCGTCTTTGAGCGATATTAGATATCCTCTCCTGACGCCAGGAGGTGCTTCCTTGTCCATTTGTTTCATTTGCAGATAGCGCAGTTTGATCATCAATGGATTGTTTACCCGGTTCTATTTCTGGAACAAAGCAGGTACGGATTATCAAGCCCAAACTCGAAACATACTGGATCTCATTCGACTACTCCGTGCCGTAGGTACTCTTTTCTCTTTAGCTTCGATCGCATCATGTCTCAGGCCCCTACAAGACTGCGGGAACCAAGTCGATTGATGCTTATCATGCCGCTGTTCGCATCGCAAACATCAAGCACTGCATCGGCGCTTAACCTGCGTACTCCTTTGTGATACTTATCGTTGCTATTTCTGGTTTCTGATAATGGTGTTTGTTAGTCTATTCTCCGCGACTACTGTACATATGCGTACCTGCATCAGATATCAAGTCGCGGTAACTTGAGAAATGCCCGCTCGGTGTCATGATCGGACAGACGTCCTCAGGCATGGATCCCATGAATGAATAAAGTATAAACAGGATTCTTGCCCGGGACTAACTATCCTAGTCATTACATCAGTTTACAAAACAATAGTCGATGGGATATCTCAATAAGCCACGTTGTATGCAAGGGTCTTTTCGTTATGGATGTCTTGGCTCACTTTCCATGTCTCGTCGATGTATTGTAGGCAGAACTATTATTGGATTCACCGAGTTGGACAATCGAGTTGTTGATCCATGGTTATGTCAACGGGAGCTCTTTTCTGTCCTTGGAACCGGGCTGCGTCTTAATCCACTCGGCGATTGAGAAGAGTACTTTACTCTACCCAGCATACCCACGCAGTACAACTTCCGAGTTCCGAATCTACCGGTTCATGAAATACGGATATGATTAGATAATTATGCACTGCGAACCAACCGGCCAAATCCGGCCGTGAATGTCAGCCCTATGAGATGTTCCATGGTTGCACTGCAGATGGATTCACATTTTCTCTTTAGATTGAGATCACCGCTTTGGTCTCGATGAATACGACGATAACCTCGTCAACCTATCAGGTAGTTAAAGTTTGCAACAAGCATCTGCCTGGACAGCCGCACGATCCTCATCCTGATTCTGCACCAGGACACTCTTGTTATCCTCCTGCGAGCTGACGGGTACGTCTAATGCGGGGTTCCTCCAGAAGAAATTCACTGGTTTCAATGAGACCGTCATTTTCTCCGCCGGCATGACGGGCCAGTCTTCCACGCGAGGGTTATGCGTCGTCCCGAACGTGTGCCAGATCACGATATCCTCGTTGCGCACGCTGACAGGTGCCGGTCGCGATCGGATCCAGGAGGCGATGCCCTCTCCTCCCAGTGACTGCATCGTGTGGTCGCCTGCGCTGTAATGCTCCTCATCGCTGTACCTGGTCACCCAGACAGCGTGCTCGCCAAATTCAGAGCGTTTGAAGTGGTAGGATGACGGGTGCGCCAGTACCATCTGCGAGTAGTGTGGAACAAGCTTATATCCGACCGGTCCCCCAGACATGGGGTTTTTGACGTTTTCGTTGACGATCTTGAATACTCGGCCTTTGGTGATGTCGGGATCCAGCGGCGTTTCGGACTCAACGATGTGGTTAACGGTTGTATATCCCACCCCGAATGGGTTATGAACGCTGGGGTCGTTGAAAGGCATTGCGTGGGATTCCTCCACCATCATGGAGTTCTTGTGCCCGTCAATAGCTGGGTCGATTCGCAGAGAAAAGAGGTGCTGATGGTACGGCGCCATGACCCCGGGAGCCACGAGGGTTCCATATGGCACCGTCTGGCCCAAGTTGATGGGTGCCGTAGATAGAATACCTGTTGCGCGGACCTCGTAGTTGATTGACGCATCTTGAGTGAAGTGAAATGCAAATATATACTCGTAATTCCCAACTGTGATGATCGTTTGCAACACAAGGACGCGCGACCTTGTCACGACGGCATTCTGCGTCCGGTAGTTGGTGTGCTTCCACAGTATACCGTCATCAATTTCGTGGCAGCAAACTACATTCGGTAGGACTATCGGGTCACCAGCAGAGGTGTGATGGTATCCATCAAAGTATTTGATATAGCCTAAGCAATCGCACCCTTTTCATTTTTGTTAGCATTTTCTTGTCACTGGTCCTCCTTTGAATGAATGCCTACCCAGCTTGAGATTATTTGAGTTCACACCGGCCAAATTCGATCCCAGGTCGAAAGCAGCCTTGCGCGGATATGGGGCACGACTGTCGCCATACGGAACAAACATCTCAGACAGGGAGAGCCTGTAGAAAACGCTCCGACCATCATAGGTAATATCGTGGAGTGTCAAGCCCTCCCGCTAGAGAAAACACACAGTGTCAATTTGAAACCAACTGCTGCTCATGATTGGCGACTCACATAGTTGAAACCAACTCTCATCCGCCACTTCTCCCATGTGAGCAGATTTCCATGCACCTGAAACGAGGGCCCCTTGGGCTGGACGACCTGGTACGGCTTGGTTGTAGTTCGCCTCTCAGTGACAAGATCGGGATGATACTCGCTGGTACGGTGGATCTTGTTCCTATCAAACGGCTTGACACCGACCTCACTGACAAGCCCAGCCCTGTCGTGCTCACCCAAAGGTAGTGAAAGAACTCGTTTCACCGAGAGATCGCCCGACATCTCCACGCATATATCTAGTGGATACGCGTAATGGTTCGCATCACCGTGGTTCTCAAGACGCATATAGAAGTAGCACTGCACGGAACGTCACTACTAAACTCTCCGGTGAGACCGAGTACTATACCATGAGGATTCTCTCCGACATATCGTTCATCCCGTCAGTCCCATACGTCCAGGGCTCAACGCACACGACAGCCTCTTCGGGGAGTTCCAGCGAACGAATTGCCTCCTGCACCTCGGCCGAGGCAATGCAAGCATTCTCAGCAGCCTGCATCTCATCCGTGTCGACATACGAGTGTCTTCCCGCGAGGGCTTTCTCTTTCGTGATCTTGCCTGTGTCCAATTCAAGATGAACCTCGCGAAAATCTGCTTTTGCGTCCTTGTAGAACTGAACGAACGCACTCCGCTTTGGAGCAGTGACGTCCCGTTTGCCAGAACGCTCTGCTTCTAGAAATGGTACCATCTGAGCTTTGGGAGGCTCCAGCAGGGTGACTACCCTGAAGACGAGTTTATCGCTCGGATATGCATTGTTCAGATGACGCACGGCCTGAACTGTCAGTCTATATTGCACAATAGCCGCATTTGCGAAGGCACGAACTTACCAGCGATATCTCTGCCGGTGACAATGGATCGAGGGGATGCGGCATCATAGTCAGATTGAGGATCTAGTCTATCAATATAATCTGGCTGGGCCAATGCAATCGACGACGGGAAAGCCGAAGTTGAGACTATACTGGTGGGAAGACATGGCTTCTTAAAGTCCGTAGACGCAGCTGAGCAGTCCGGGGCAGAGCAAAACCACATCAATCCACCGCAACTGCACCACCTAAGCAACTCAAAATACGCTGAACCTTTAAAGGTAAATTGATGCGGAGTGCCACCATCGATGCCGATTGATAGGTCAACACCTCCGATAGTCAAGAGCCGTGATAGGAGGGGAAGTGGACGCTTTATCAACTTCAACTTTAGAGGTAAGGATTGTCAATGGCAATTGAGCCATAGAGCTTCTGAGCAAGGTAGTCTATACGAGAATAACTCATCCCGATTCTTGCATTGGCTGTCAACCAGGATAAGGGGTGCAAATGTTCTCAGCGTATGTGAGAGCATCTTTTGGAACCCCGCATCTCTTCTTTTGAATAGACAATTAACAAGTAAGCTGGAGAATAAGGGAACTTGCCATACTCACGTCTGATGATTTTAAGATGGTATTCACCTTGGAAGCGGCACCTTGTTGAGCTTGATCTAGTCTAGATCTAGGTCTTGGTAATAGTGATGCCAGAAATAATCAAGCTTCCACCTTTGGTCCCAATGCTGTTTTATACAGGTAGTGAACGAGATATACAGTAGAATGAAACAGATCAACATGAGTCATAAATGCAATGTTGAATGCCCGTATAATAACGCCAGTCGCCTAGAGGCGATGCTTCATGTTTCTATTTGCCTCAAGTCTCAACAGCACCCGGCGAAATTGCGAGTATGACGACGAAAGAGGTTACGATCAGAGCGGCCGCAACAATTGCTACCAGAGCAACACTTCCACGGCTCGCTGGAAATTTACCCCGGATGATCCAGTACTGACTTTCAAAATAGCGGTGGAACCCAATCAGAAGAATCAACAGGGCGATTCCAATGAAGGTCGTTCCGAGTGGTTTGCCGATACTCCGCAGTCGCTGTGATTCAGAAGTGATTCTTATTGTTGCAGGATCATAGAACGGGGGCGAAAGGAGAGAAGGGAAGGCTTGAGAGGATACGTCGGAAGATCGTACGCTGGACGCATTCAGGCGGAAGAGCTGGGTCACTGCGATGCCAATGGACGCAAAAGCTAACGAGGTTCTCAACCAGGCCAAAAACGTGCGCTCTAACAGTCATAGAGGTTAATGAATGCTACAGACTCGAGGATTGCAAGCGGAGAAAAAGAAAAATGAGGCGTGGAGGCACACCTAATGCAAGATGATCTCGAGCGACGCTTCCCTTATTTTCGAGTTCTACACTGCCATATCTCTCCGCCAGTCGAGCATACCATGCGACAGGTGAATCTTCGGAGCCAGACTGAGCGTTTGATGGATTGGCATTCCCTCCATTTTGTTCTGCTGGATTCTTTGCATGACCGTTGCCAGTTCCGGAATCTCGATTACTCAGGCCATCGGTCGAATCGGATTGCTGCTGTGTAGAGTTTCCATTACTTGCAGCTCGATCAGCGCCACTCGTTGCCTGTGGCAGGCCTGATGAAGACCGAGTACGCGTGCTAAAGGGAGACATGCGTCCAGAACTCCTGGTTTCGGTGGGAGAGGAAGAAGAGTGATGCGTCGTGGTGGCCTCTCTGGCGTGGGATTCAGTCAGATCCGAGTGGTCCATGATGGCGTGCTCGCCGAACTGCAGGGCCAACAGTAGACCAGTCCAGTATTTGCTTCTTTGAAACGGCACACCATTAGCTGCCAGATGTAGATTTATCGACCGTTACTCCTCCAGATTTCACATCGACCACAACCAGAGGCACTGAGAATGGTAGAATTGACATAAGAAGGCAGATCAAGATCCTGCGTGATTTCTCACCTCTTTTGCAGTCATATGGCCGAATTGAGCTGTCCTTCCATCTGGTTCCTTCAGGTCGTCTTATTCCACACGGCGATATCACGCAAACAGGGTCTCCTTAGCCATTAACGGTTAGTCTATTGGGGGATCACATGGTCAGGAGATGACGCTAGTCTGCTTATGGCAATGTCGTCATAATACCTTTTTTAGCAGGCGGTGTGGCGAGACGCCGATCTGCCGGCCGAAGCACACCACTTTATTTCGTTGTCAGCTTAGTCGCACTGCTACTTTACAGTCAAGTGATAACATTTCAAGGTCACTTGCCAGCAGCTGACAGAATCAGATCGCTCTGTATGCGAACTTCTGCATGATGGCTTCTCATGCGACTATTCCCTCTCCGCCAGCAGGACCCAAAGTTGACTTGTCCAGGAAGTTATCCGAGCTGCGAGCCAGTCGCAAGTCTCAGTATGGCCCCTCGTCCAGAGAGCCCGCCCCAGTGACGCCTCTTCTTCCCAGCCCACCAGATCTATCGTCTCATACTTATGCACGGCCTGTTCGGCGTATCCTGTCGCGGAAAGATCACGAGACCTTTCTTGCATCGCCGACCTACACTCTCGTCGTCGCCTTCATCTTCGGCCTTTCTGATTCAGTAAGAGGACATGCGGTTACAGATAACAAAGACCAACCTGCATCCCCCAACATCTCCAGAATTCTATCCGTGATAGATCGTATCAGTGAACTCCTTGACAAACATCCTTCCATTGACCAGGGTGGTTCAAGGTTCGGTAACCCTGCTTTCCGCGATCTATTCGATGACGTGGCTGCGCAGAGTGCCACATGGCATAGAGACATCATCGGACTACAGAATGCGGACGCCATAGAGGAAGTATCATCCTATTTGGTCCACTCCCTAGGATCCCGGGACCGGTTGGACTACGGTTCAGGACATGAGTTGAACTTTATGATGTGGCTATTATGCCTTCGACAGATGCAGATGATATCGACGGCAGACTTTCCAATGATCGTTTTCAGAGTTTATCTTAAATATATGCATCTCATGCGGCAGGTACAAATGACTTATTACCTGGAGCCTGCTGGCTCGCATGGTGTCTGGGGTCTGGACGACTACCATTTTCTACCGTTCCTCTTCGGTGCCGCCCAGCTTGTGGATCATCCATATATCACACCGTTAGCGATCCACAACACGGCAGTATTAGACGAAGAAGGGGACCGATATATCTATCTGGATCAAGTGCGATGGGTGGACAGCGTGAAGACGGTCAAAGGCCTCCGGTGGCACAGTCCCATGCTGGATGATATTTCCGGTGCCAAAAACTGGCTGAAGATCGAAGGAGGCATGAAGAAAATGTTCATTAAGGAGGTTCTGGGCAAGTTACCCATCATGCAGCATTTTCTATTCGGCAGTCTGCTGCCCGCTGACCCAAGTATGGGAGAGCGCACGGATGATGCGGAGGATGACGAGCTCCACGACCATGGAGATGGCCATCCTCACGCCCGTCACACTGATCATTTCGGGGATTGCTGCGGTATCAAAGTGCCGAGTACAGTGGCCGCTGGAGCCGAAATGAGGAAACGGATTGGCGGAACAGGTCTACGACCAATTCCTTTTGATTAGCCATGTTGACGGATCTACGTCCAATGATGAATGACTACACGGTACACTAGATCTATTAATGGAAGCGAGCAAGTCAATGCTATTCTCACCCAAAGAGTAGTACAGATATTTCCATGGTTGGAGAGACCAATCACAGAATCAATCGAGCAATGCAAAACCTCGATACAGACCATGAGAACTCACCATCCTCTCCCAAGCAATCCCATTCAACCGCGCTCCCTCAAAGCATATCTACCAACAACCCAACCAAGGACACCAGACGCCAGAAACCCACGAGGAAAAGACCCATTCACCCATCTCTAGACAACGCAGCTAAATCGCTCATCAACTTAGTAACATAGTTATCCGCCCTCCTATCATTATCCCTCTGGAGAATCCGCTCAAGCGACATCTTCGCATCCTGCAGCTGCTGCTCGAGGACCGTTCCAGCGGCCTTGAGCACCTCCTCGACCTTGTTATCGGCCACAATGACTTTGACCAGCATCCCCTTGTTGGGCGCCTCGATCCGAGAAGACCACACAGTTGCCTTCTTGTCGCGGAGCTCCTGGACCGCCGTGTGGAGGATTTCGCTCTGGGTCAGTGGGTCGCCGTGCAGGGGGAAGTGGACGTACCAGGTGTATCCTGTGGGCTCTTCGCCGTGGAGGTATTGAAGGAGTTCGAGGAGGCCCATTTTGCTTGTTGGGCTCGTTCGTGGGTATAGTTGTGCTTTGGATGAGTTTGGAGAAGGTTGGTAGGGATGAGTGAGGAATAGTGAGATGTATTGTATTGCTGATGCAATGATTGATGGCGGTGGTGGCTGTTTTTGGCATTCATGGCGGTACTTATAGAAGATATGTGAGACATCTAGAATGAGGATTGAAGGTGAAGGCGCAGTATCACAGACATGCAAGAAAGAAGTTTTCATAGTTTGAGACTACACGAGGCTTCCATGCGTAGTCGACTCTGCAAGACCAAGCTAAGGAGAAGATCGAGTCTGGGCCTTCAAGACAATACCTTTGTGTACTACCTGTTCTCCTCTCAATGAAACCTTTGTAGTTGCCCGCACAGTCAAGACATTGGGACGACAAAGCGCAGATGGCAGGCAATGGCGGCAAGCTGCCTGTCCTGTCTGTCCGAAGTTGACGTCTCAAGTTGATATCTCCAGGATACAGCAAAGAAACAGCTGTTCCGATTCAACGATCCCAAACCTCCAACGCAGAACACCCACAGGGAAGATATAAAAAGTCATTCAATCCCACATCTAAGCTCTTTCTACTTCCCTCTTTCATCCTCCAAGCTCAAATTAGCCAGGCATTTCTCTGCCAGCCTCGCCTGCGTCCTGCTATGCATCTCTATCCTATGCACCTCCAGATGCCGTTGAGCAATATGGTACGCCGCACGCCGAATTGCCCCCGGCTCGGAGTATCGAGCCTGGACTTCAATCAAGAACCCGGACATGGTATTCTCGAGATTGCGCGAGGCGTAGATCTCGCACCGGCCGGCTTGGATGGCGCTGCAGATGGCGTCGAAGAGGATGACCTTGTTGTGAGCGTAGCCGGAGGCGAGCGGCACATGGACGTACCATGTTGAGAGGGTGTCTGCTGTGAAGAGATCGTCTTCGCCGTCGAAGAGGCGTTCTATGCTCATCCTTGGGGGATTGTATTCTAGGGATTTTATGAACGGAGATCTTGGGGGGAGGGAACGCTTAAGGTAGAGATTGGAATAGGTGAAGGATGATGGTAGGAGACACGATGCGGCAGAAAGATCGTATATGAGTCTTTATACAAGAATGAAGTGAAGCTCGATGCTGAGATGGATCCCAAGATTCCAGATCAAACAGAGCATTGAGGTTCAAAGAGAGACCTCTCAAGCTCGTAGATTATCAAGAGTCCATAACGCTGTCATTGCATCATAGTATTCAGCATGGCAAGAAGATACCTTTGTCGCAAAAACAAAACGCAATGAAAGAAGGAAATATCTCCTTGCTATCATGTTATCAAGCACAGCGTCCTCCTAGACCTCATCATCCTTTGTCCAGATCATCCATGTTGTCTTCCACCAGACAAAGAAAGAACAAACAAACAAAGAAGGCGCACTTCAAAGCCCATCTTTGCCATACGTCTTAAATTTGGCAACATGTTCTCAGCAGTAAGTCTTAGATTTGCCATTGCTTCCATTCATATCAGAATTTAGGTAGACTGTGGTTCATCAATCCCAATCATTCTACGGTAGAAGAAGAAACACGCTAAGCCAAAATAGTATAAAGTCACCTGACCATCACCATCTACAACGCCTCATATCCACTTCCATCAACCCATCATCACCAGAACCGCGACAAAGTAAAACATATTGACCATATAACTCTTGCCAACCAAACACACAAGCCATTGTCTTGAACGGCTGAAACCCCAACAAATTAAGAAGAAGATCCAAATGGCCCCCGGCGACGAATACACAGCCGGCGGGGGCGGCAAACTCAAACTCAAAGGCTCCAAAGTCAGCGACGGCCGAGTAGAAAAGAAAAAGAAGAAGTCCAAGAAGAGCAAATCCGACAAAGAGGGTGAGGCTGACACCGCGCCGCCCGAAGCTAGGCACCCTGATGAAGACGGGGGGAGCGAGGACCACCACCGGGACCGCCACACACCTCCAGATGATGCGGGTGCAGTGGTAGGCAAGACAGAAGCGGAAAGGAAGTACGAGGAGGCGCGGAAGAAGAGGGTATGTATCTCACTCTACCTACACTTTCTGTTCGGTGGTGGGAAGTTCTACGAACGTAGGACAAACCAGCTGATATCGGAGTAGCTCTTGGATCGTCTCAAGCGGGAAGGAGTCAAGACTCATAAGGAGCGAGTGGAGGAGTTGAATAAGTATTTGAGCCGGTTAAGTGAGCATCATGATATGTATGTGCTTTTCGTTTCATATTCGCTTGTGAAAAGGCATGGACTAACATGTGCTGGTATAGGCCGAAGATTGGACCCGGTTAAATGGGGGTCTGGAGACTTTTCAGTATATGTACGCATCTTATTCGGTAGTCCATTGATTTTTGTTCCCAGTAGTTCTTTATGAATGACTCGAGTTCTCATTTCTTAAGCTCTTGGACGTTAGCATGGGCTAAGGCTCTTAACGTCGTTGAAAATCATATGACACCGGATCACTTTGAGCTCCCACTGGCCCAGGCGGCTGGTTTCGCTGGCGCGCTATGTGGCCTAAGCTACGAGCGTAGCTACCTTAGTTGCCTCACTACAGCCTATCCACGACTTAAAGCAAATGGCAAGATCCCTGAGATCAATGAGTTTGGTATTGACTGTACAACCAGTTATCTGTATGACACCCAAGCGGTGAGACGACAGCAGGTCCGAGCGGTCTAGTCTACGCAGAAATTATGAGTGTAACTGAAGAGACACGAGAACTCAGATCGTCTCAGTTCCAGATAGAACAGTAGTCTATGAATGGCTGAACACGATGCCGTATCCGCGCAACAAATCAATATTGCAAAGGTAGTGAATCAGCAAAACTCCAATGTGTAAACGCCACGCGTATGATAATGAGATGGGCAAACAACCATCAAAAATGAGCCCCAAAAGAGCATCTCCCAACCAAAAGTCCAGAAAAAGGAGAATTGCAGTATGTGCAGCCGGCAGGAGCACAAACGAGTTCGTTGATGCTCAAACCGACGAAAGCATCAAATCGAGTCACAACACCGCGCTAAACTCAACGGGCTTAATCGACTGCGACGTAGAATGAGATGTAGGAGATATGGAAGAAAAAGTAAAGGCGAAATTGCTGAGGCAGAGGGTGAAATCCGTCTCAGATCCTCATACGCCCTTGATGACTTGGGTACGCTCGCTGTTGAGCTTGTCGGCGTTTCGGGCATGAGATTCCTTCTTGCAGTCCTCTAACCCCGTACAGGAGTGAGCCTCCAGCATTCTATGTTTCGAGCAGTAGTGTCCATTGCAAAAGCTGCAGTCGCCGACGATCCGCTGAGCGGCTTCCTTGCACTCCTTGAAGTTGCAGCGAGGCTTGCGGGGCGCCATGTTGATAGAAAGTGGCGAGGAGAGCTGGATAAGATGGTTCGAAGGAAGAAGTCGAAGGAAATAAGTATCGGCTCGTCTTGAGGAAATGCCGTCAAGGTTGTCGACGATGATTCGAGGAGAACCGTATGGACGGGTAGACGACGAGGTTGAGGGTAAAGGTGTTGGTGGCGAGGTCGAGGGTAGGATAAGGAGTTTCAAGAGGGTTAAGGAGAAGAGCAGACAGTTGAGGAGCCAAGTCGATAAGGAGGGAGATAAGGAGAAGGAAGCAACTGCTGCCGGCGGCTTGGCTATATATATGTCTTTCAAAGAGGTTCAGAAAGCAGACCGATAATCGGAAAGCACGGGAGTGGAATGACAGGTGGTATCAAGCGAAAGAACGGGTGTTGAGTTTTGCTGGGAATTGAGGTGGCAGTGAGGCAAAAAAAGAAAAGTCAATTTGTACAAACGGACGCAGAGACAGGAGGCGACAGGGAAGGGATTGCCTTAATAATAATAAAGAATGGATGGAGCCCGACGGTGCCGATGGGAAGAACTGAGGAGAAACTGGAAGAGAGGGATGAATGCTGAGTCACAATACCCAGAGAGAGAGATAGCCTAGATTGCTTCATTTGGAGACATCTACGTAGGAGGTGCTATCAGGTAAACTCATGATACTAGTACATAATAGTACACTAGTGCCGCCGCTGATCCAGGAGGGCTCCATTTTCACTCTGCTTTTGTACATATTGCGTTACTCACTTTACTACTGCTGATCTAGTGTGATACTTACCAGGGTGGAGGCAAAATCGGGGGTGGAGCCTGAGGCCTCTGACTCTGCTTGCCCGGATGCGCACGAGGTCGGTTTGCCTTCGGTACCAAACCTTGCGATCATCTGGGGCATCTCACCAGGTACGGAGCATCAAGGAGACAAGAAGGCTCTCAAACACTAATAGTGCAAGAAAAGAAAAGAAACTCCAAAAGGACTGTGCATCTGCACAGGGTGTCGACTGAATGATCAAGTCGCTTTCCCCTTTCCACAGGATGAGGTGACGACGACTCCTCTACGGAGTACCTTATGACCCTTATGACCCCCTATGTACGCACCGAGCCATTTTGAATTCCGACTATGTATACCTCTCTATTCAGTTTGAATAGCCATCGGTTCTGAAAGGGATGCAAATCATCTCACAAGTCAGACCGTATAAACCAGGCAGATCCTGCCTATGATCATCACTCAACACCGCAACAATGCAGGCAATCGCTGGAGCTTATGACGGAGCACCCTGACCGAAGCGATCCGTGAGTCCACCTGATCTGAGTCGCTGCTGGATTGATACAAGCTGTTGGGATATCAGCTTTTAGTACTGACTACACTAGCTGTTTTTTCCACTGCACCGTATCAATGTCTCTCGATTAAGAGTAGCAATCAACGGGTTCAAGTGACCAACTGATGGCGCTATCTAGCTGGCTTCTCCGCACCGACAGACGAGTCACGTGAAGTGGATGTTCCAGCACTCAGCAACTCCAATGACCAAAAAGAGCATCAAAGCAATCTTTAAATGCAAGTTGAACTTATTCTATATAACAAGCCCAGCAATTGTCCATATCTTGATAGAACGCAGGATAAGAATGGGCATTATCGGAATTGCGTGGAAATTGCTTGCGGTTGGCGCAACTCGACGAAGCTGCAACGGTGCGGAGTAAAACCCACTAGGTAGCTACCGCTGCTTACCTAGGAGCAAGCATTGGTCCTCACGACAATCCACCTCTTTCTCTTCGACGATGAGCAACACACGCCAGGATAAGCTGAGATTGGAGTCATGTACTAATTGTGAGTAAGTCACTTGAAACGCCACTAACTGCACTATTGTAGCTACCCACATCTGGCCTGCAGAGTACAGCACAACATGCTTTGAGTTGGCAGAGGTGCGTGGTTCCATTGAGCTAGATGATTTTGGTCAGTCTTATGAGGACAAAAAGCGCTAGGCTACCTCTTTGGCATAACTATCTACATCTACCTTACCTAAGCTTCCACAAGGTAGGTAGATAGATAGGTACCTCGTAGCACTAGCCCTCATTGTACAGCTCACGAGAATCTTGAACCATGAGAAAAACATGAAATATGTGGAGGGAAATAACTCAAACCGTCTTCCTTGGGCACAAGCATCCATCTCCTCCTGCAGTCCTCCAGATCCCAACGGTCACAGCGGGCGCCAGCCGATTGTCACGTCAGGATGGTATTCAAGGCTTGCATCCGCCTTAGCACAGACATAGCTTTTTCTTGTGTATACATTTGAGATATTATATCCAGTCAAAGAGATATGCTCCCGCGCTGTCTTTTCAACATCCGCCTACACGCCAACTATTCCGCCCATATCTGATTTGCCATGTGGTTACAGAGGCGATATTGTTCCTATGTAGTCCATCGATTCCACGGTCGCCAAAGTGCCTACAGCATATGGCAAATGAATGATCCACGCTGCCTATGCTTCGTGGTTCATGCGTTGTCAAACAAAATTGACGCCGTTGGGCTCTCACAGTATCATAAATCACTATCTATCTGCAGTACCAACGCCTCCGCAGCGATTAGGCTTACGAGTGTATCGACGAGGGATGGATCGCCCTGCGTCCGTGCACTGATAAGAGCATGCACTCTTCTACTAACTCCGTATGTCGCTCAGACTCTCAGTAAGAGCTCTCCCGGACTTGAAAATGCTGGACATCCGTACGTCGCATCATTCGTCTCTATTTCTTCTCCTATCAGGTCTTGCCTGAAACCTTTTCCATGGAGCAACGCTCATGGTCAAGCAAAGGAGCATTCGCAAGGATATAGCAAAGTAAAACTAACAATAAACGCCTCTTGCCAAAGTTCAACCCATCCGAAAAAGCCATAGCAACAGCGCAAGGGAATCAAAGAGCAACGCCGATCTGCAGAATTAGCCATCCACTACCCACTGTCTGTGATCACACCCCCATCTCCTTATCCTTGCCCGCATCTGGATCCAGATAGTCTTCTCTTTCTGCTGCCTCATATTCACCAACGAGGTCCATCACCACAGCCCGCGCTTCGTCGAATTCGCCGAGACCGTCCGTAAAGGGGCTCTCCTTCTTGTACTGTTCCAAAAAGGCGTTTCGTTTCCGCAGGCGGTCGTACTGTTGGACAATTCGTTTGAAGAGCGTTGCGACTGATGTGTGATTCGCCAGCATCAGGCCGCTGACGCGGTGTGTGTTCTGTATGTATGGAGATTTCTTGGTCAGGGCTACTTGAATACTGGCCGGACCCCAAGGGATGAATGATGCCAAGCGTCGCTCGCGGATACGCAGCAAAGACTTGTGCACATCTGTGGGATCTGCTTCACCCTGGATGATGTTGAGAATACTCATGTAGCAACTGGACTTGCTGGGGTTGATCGAAACCATGCGGTTCTTCGGCTGTAGCAGGCGGCGCATAACGTCTAGAACGGTGGTTTTGCGAACTGTCTTTGCTTGGTCGACATTGTCACCGGTAAAGGGCGTGTATGATGTGATCAGGAAATGGCTGCGAGGTGTAGGAATAAGAGAGGCGATGATTCCAACAAGATCATTGTGCATGTAACCGGGGTAACGGAGGGTGGTTGTAGAGGCTGACATGACGGTGGACACCTATCGAGAGTGAGCTTTCTTTGTATGAGGTTTAGTTGAGCAATGAGGAGACTCACAAGCTGATTCGTTTGCTGGAACGAAGGCTCTTGCACATGAAGCCTGTCCGCAACGATCCTCGAAAGTGCACCATTGTCGAGAACAACCTGACAGCATCTTAGCTCTATCAACTGGTAATCCTGTAGACGGAAACTTACGACAGAGTCAGCATTCTGTGTCAGTCTCCTCATGGCGAGCAGACTGTTGTACGGATTGACCACAACATCTGCGGACTGTGTATCTGGGAAAACGGAGTATGTCTGAATCAATTTCTTGGGAAACCGGTCATTCATCCGCTCTAGGATGAAGCTGCCAAGTCCCGAACCGGTTCCTCCTGCAATCGAATGCAGGAACATGAAGCCCTACCACGACGCACCAAATTAGTTAGACAATGCTAATATGCGGACACCAGAAGTCCGATCCCTTCCACATAAGTGTCTCACCTCTAAAGAATCACTACCGTCCGCTTCTCGGTCGATCATGTCGAAGATCTCCTCTTGTACAACTTCGCCAGCGGCGTAGCCGGCACCCCAATTGTTCCCAGCACCAATGCCTTGCTGACCGATGAAGAAGTTCTCAGGATTGTAGATATTCTTGTAAGGTCCACTTTGTATTGAGTTCAAAACCTGTCCATGCAAGCTCAGCTCAGATCCAGGAGAGAAACAAATCGCAGAGAATTGGTAGAGGGTGAATTCGTACTCTTGGTTCCAAGTCCAGAAGGATCGCTCGGGGGATATATCTGGTATCATCGCTCTGATTTTACCAAAGTCAGCTTACTCAACCCAAGCATCAGACTTCCAAGTCTAAGGCGCCATGGAAGCTCCTACCTGGTAGAAGAAGACATCCTTGCGATCCCCGCCTTCTGTCGCAAACTCCTCCAAGTTCCCATCCTGACTAATTCCGTGCTCAAGGCAAAGCTGTTGCCAGAATTGACTGCCGACTGTACAGAATTCCAGTTAGCGGGATCGTGGCACCGCAGGAGTGTCATGTTCAAAATCTGAGGTTGCGGAGGGCCGGATCGCGTCGCTAGAGCTTCATACCATTGTTGCCGCACTGGCCGGCTTGAATTGTGATTATTTCTCTGAAAACAACATGAGTATTAGCTTCCTTTATCTCACACAGAGGAACAGATAGCAATAATTGGGCAAATTGTGGCACATACCTGGGCATCGTTTTTCTTGACCACCAGAAGTAGTCGAGGTTATAGCCCACGCGTAGCGCGTTTTCGCGGGGAATCTTATTTCGGAGGTGGCGGGCCTCAGGTACACGTTAGGTAGCTGTCGGTGGTGTCTGAACCTTTCTAAAGCAACATAAAACTGAGATTGTAATTAGATTGATTCCAACTGAATCCTTTGCTGTCACCATGTAAGTGAATGATTAAAGTACTAATTTTATCCTCTATATTTGCAGCGCCGCTATTTGATATCAATCTATACGGCGCTTTCAGTTCCACGTCTTGGTCTTGTGTAATTATTGCTAGACCACAATCAACATCCCAAGATTGAACCATAGGAAATCACCCAACATTCTTACGACTGACAGTGGCACACCATGTAGTATCATTTGCTGCTTGCACTATTTCGTTTTGGCTTATCTATATGCGCCAGGGAAATGACAAAGTTCGCGATGCTCAAGTGTCTCAAAATCCCGCCTTGCAAGCTGTCACAAGCATGCCGGCCCCGGCGACTACACCATCAACTATCCTCACTCGACGGCCTTGTCGTTCACCATAGGCCCTGATACAGCCGTCTCGCACTGCTTCCTCCATGCCTGCCATTCCCGCACAGCCCATGCAAATGGCACTTAGAGGATGCGACGTGCTTTTGATGAGTCTCTCTGTCGCATCGCTGATTCTTCTCCTCACTTCTTCGGCAGGCGCAGTATGTAATTCAACGGCTGTCAATCCAGTGGTCTCTACACCAGCAAAGCGAGCAGTAGAGCAGTCACTGTCGCCAGAATTCACGATCATCTCTGTGACCGCTCTTGTCAGTTCGTCTCTCCAGATGCTCCCGGTGGTAACTATGCCGAATGTGTCCTTCGCTTGGGCTTTATGAAAGTTTGCATCTCCTGTCAGATGGAAAGAGCTAATGAGGGAGAGAGAGGTCAAGACACTAGCTTCGAATATGCCCGTCACATATTTCTTTCGGAGCTCTGGTACTGCGGAGTCTCTTCTGGAGGATGTCTCCTCAAATTTTGTGATCGCTTCTTTCAGCATGCCGACTAAAGGATGGGCCGAATAACATGCGACAAGGAATGCGTCATATCTTGGGACAAGCGGTTCGACAAAGGGTCTGCAATGCAAGGCTGATGTGGTGGAATCCTCTCCCGAGTTGATGCTGGGCACTCCGTCGATAATGCGCCCATCCGGGAGTGTGACAGACTCAGCTGAAGGCGCCGTGAAGTAATCGAAGTAGATATCTGCATGATTCAAGCCCTCCAGGATGGGTTTGAGTGCGTTCGTCATGTGGGCAGAAGTGTTTGGGTTGATGATTAGGATCGAGAATCGATGGCTGTTGTTCGGTGCAGCCATCTTGCAGCTGTCTATTGCGATGAATTGACCTGAATTTCGACGCTGACCCACTCAGATCCGATGTTCGTGAAAAGCCCCTTGCTAAATATGCGATTATGCCGTATACTTTGGAATTGGATGTCCGACCGGATGAGGTTCCCAGGCGTCTGCAGCAATCTGCCTGCTTGCCCTCCCCACCAAGAGGCACTAGTCCATGCTGAGGATTGGAAACTTCATCAAAGATCAGGAAGCATCCAAAAGACGGCCTTCAAGTTCAATTAAGCTTGATTGACTTCTTGCAGTCATGCTTGTACTCATGACTACAATATTTGACTCTGCCCACTCTATGATGAGATCAAATGAGCGGTTTGCTGGGTGCGAGGAAAGGGAATACCATCGTGTTCATATCACCACAGTCGGAGATGTGCTCGAGGTCTTCGTATTCGCAGCATATCCTCTTCTTCAGCGGGCTACTGTGGGTATCGTTTTCTTGCGTGTCGACATGAGATAGCTGTATTATTAATTAAGAATGGTCAGATCTCGAATACAAATAGCGACAATGACCCCGAAAGTCGTCATCCCCGCGGAAGTTAGATCTGACCCCACTATTCCATCAAATCCCACCTGCGACCTTTGAATATCACCACGACTACGCTCACACTTGATAATCAGAATGCCTTTGGTTGTGCCATCCGCTACACCGAGAGTCATCCTCGGCTTGATGACCTTTGGGCCAGATGAGTCCCAAGGTGCTCGCATCACGTCCCTCGACGACTTTAACAAGTGCTTGGATCATCTCCAGCAGCAAGGTTTTAACGAGGTTGATACTGCGCGCATCTACGTGGGAGGAAAGCAAGAGGCTTTTACAGCCCAGGCCAAGTGGAAGGAACGTGGACTGACTCTAGCGACGAAATGGTACCCCCATACCCCCGGTGCACACAAACCCGACGTTCTTCGTGAGAACCTCGAGCTTTCTTTAAAGGAACTACAAACGGACCAAGTGGACATCTTTTACCTGCACGCGGCGGATCGATCTGTGCCGTTTGCAGAGACTCTCGAAGCCGTCAATGAGCTGCACAAGGAGGGAAAATTCGTGCAGTTGGGGTTGAGCAATTACACTGCTTTTGAAGTTGCGGAGATAGTTACACTCTGCAACGAGAGAGGTTGGGTTCGACCCACAATCTACCAGGCGATGTATAATGCAATCAGTAAGTATCCTCTTGCTGTGACCTCGATGTGTTTTCTAAAGGTCCCGTTCGCAGTGTAGTTACTGACGCCGATAAACACAGCGCGCAACATCGAAACCGAGCTTATCCCCGCCTGCAAGCGCTACGGAATTGACATCGTGGTCTATAATCCTCTCGCTGGTGGTCTGTTCTCTGGCAAATACAAGACTAAGGACATTCCTGCGGAAGGAAGATATAGTGATCAGTCTTCAACTGGAACCTTGTACCGGCGACGTTATTTCAAGGACGCGACATTCGACGCTCTGCGACTGATCGAGCCTGTTGCCGAAAAGCATGGCCTAACCATGCCTGAGATTGCGTTCCGCTGGATCCATCACCACTCCGCGCTCAACATGAAGGATAATGGCCGCGATGGTGTCATTGTTGGCGTGAGCAGCCTCGCACAGTTGGAAAACAACCTCAAGGATATCCAGAAGGGCCCTTTGCCTCAGGAAGTCGTCGACGTATTGGACCAAGCCTGGTTGATTGCGAAGCCGACCGCTCCAAACTACTGGCATCTCGACTTGAAATACACGTATGATACCCAAGCGGCCTTGTTCAAGCCTAAAACGAAGGTGTAGCTAAATCCGTGCGCCATATCTGGATTATATATTGCCCTTTTCGGTAGATATTTGCGATTCGCTCATACAATCTTTCTTTGTGATTTTCTGTATAGCATCATCCTGCGTCTGATGGCTCCATTGGCAAACCGAAAGATCTTTCTATGTACTTAAGCCGTCTGCCGAGAATGAACCGAACGAAATCCTTCGGTCTTCGGATCACCGGTAAGTTTCTGGCGTCATCCGTCCAAGGGACCCGCTTTGCTCAGAACAAAGTCGAAGTATCACCAAAGGTGACGGAAAACACGATGAACCGAAAGCGGAAAATCGAGTCTAAGACAAAGGATTGAGAGAAAGGGTATCAAAGTGTGCGAATGCACCATGAATATCAGCTTCTTAGGTTACGCCTCAGCCATTCATATCTTCAGGCCTGGGTAGGCAGTCCGGATATCGTCATTGGAAGAAGGTATCTGTATCCTGGAAATTCGGTCCATTGTGGATCTCCACGTTTTTTTGCCCAGCAAAATTTGGTAACGGGCCCCATCTTCTTGTCTGAGATTGGGGTTCTGGAATGTTAATGGATACAGTGATGGCTTATTTGCTTTGAAATGGCAGATGTGCCAAGCACACAGAGGATGAATTTTCGTGGAAATTGCTGCCGCTCACTGGAGCTTGTCTCCTATGAGAACTTTGGTTGAGGACTTGATTGCAGTATGTCTCTGCTATACGGGACATGCATTGGTTGACGATGAGCAAGATCATCAAGTCTTGTCGAACCTCACTGCCGAGTCTTTCGAGTAGCAACCGGCTTAGCAAAGAGGGACAAGATGTAGGCACAGAGGCCTCACCGGATACATTTCCCTGCCGCTCCTCTCTTGACGAGCATTTACTTGCAGAGCATCACAGTGGCTGGAGACGAATCGTGTATAGTTTCACACCGTCGTACGTCTCCGACTTCCCTCAGAGCGTCTGTAACCATGAGGTCTCTGGAAGCTGCTAATATTCGTATGCAGATGGTTTTCCGTTGTTATGGGGACTGGGATGATTTCTACCGTCCTGAATACTCTTCCTTATAATGCTCGCTGGCTTTACTGGATCTCGATCGTTGTCTTTGCCCTCAATGTCGCCATTTTCGCAGTGTGCAGCATCCTGACTTTGCTCCGCTACACTATGTACCCCGAGACCCTCAAGACTGTCATGAATGAACCAGCTCAGTCAATGTTCTTGAGTACATTTCCCATGGGATTAGCGACTATTGTCAACATGGTCTGCTTTGTGTGCGTCCCAGCGTGGGGAAATTGGACGAGGGATTTCGCTTGGGCCTTGTGGATGGTTGATGCTTGCCTTTCAGTTATCTCCGCACTTTACCTGCCATTTTCACTGTAAGTTTGGCTCTTGGCGTGGATGTTTTCTTCGCGTGCTGCATTTTACTAAACAAAAACAGAATGTCCTCAAACGTCGATGCACAGCTGTCCTCGATGACTGCAATCTGGCTCTTGCCAATTGCGAGCTGCGTTGTGGCTTCAGGGACTGGTGCAGTCGTTGCAGACCTCCTTTTGGATCCTAACCATGCTCTATGGACTATTATCGTGAGCTATGTCCTATGGGGAGTTGGAATTTGTTTATCGATGATCGTCTATGTTCTCTACTTTCAACGGCTTGCTGTGCACAAATTGCCGCACAAGGGAGTGATCATGAGCGTGTTCTTGCCGATGGGCCCTTTGGGATCCGGCACCTTTGCGTAAGGCCCCAGGATGAGGTTCATCAATGAGTCAACACCTAACCTGTCATATTTCAGGGCCGTGAGACTCGGTACAGCTGGAAAGACTGTTATCTCGAAGACCCAAACGTTGAATGATAGCTCTGCTGCCTCGATAGTATATGTTGTAGGCGCAATGACCGCGCTGATCCTCTGGGCTTTCGGTCTTCCTTGGCTTTTCTTTGCCTGCGCATCGGTTCTGAAGTCGGGAAGATTTCCATTCAATATGGGTTGGTGGGCTTTCACCTTTCCAGTAGGTGCGTATGCGATGGGAACATGCCAGTTAGGGAGGGAGCTCCCTTCTGCATTTTTCAGGGTCCTGGGAACAGTAAGTTTACTCACACGATCAATGTTGCAATCAATGACCAAGACCTCCATCAGGTTCTCTCGTTGATAGTCGTAATTCATTGGATTGTCATCTCTGTCGGTACCCTCGAAGGAGTCGTCTCTGGAAAAATATTTGTTGCCCCTGGAGTCTCCAGTATACGACGTCAGCGCAAAGAGGAGAATGATTCGGAAAGCATCGCATAATATTGATGTGGAATCTGCCCTGAATAACTGCATCCTGGCTGAGTTGAACTTGAAAGTAGAAGCGGCGATGCAGTCTCCATCCCGCGAGGAATGTGAGAGAGTTATGCGAGAGATTATATGCAACCATTATCTCTTGATTTCAAGACTCCCTTTCGTGACACCGAAACCTTCACGCATTCACAGGAAATTGGTTTGTAGAAGACCAGATTCGAAATACGAGCCCTATTAATGGTCTACAGTTTTGTCCTTCCCTCATGATGAGCCAAAGGGGAAGTGCGCGTCACGAGAGACACGAGCCTTGTTTACACAATAAACGAGAGTGCTGGCATTATTCATGCAGAGAAAGCCGCATTGTCCGTCGCTTCGGCACGCACGCTGTTTTTACCGCACACTATGGCCGAATCTAGCGTTGCATCTGGATTCCAGAAGTGAAAGAGGGTAGGATTCTAGCGCGCCATTTTCAATACGATTCCGTCGATCTTTCGGGCTATTGCAGCGAAAACTGCACCATTCCTCACTTGGGGATTCCAGACAGCCTGAGGCCGGCTACGGTTCTCCCGATGCTACAGCTCGCTACATAGCCCGAGACCCTATTGTAGGCTTGTGCTCATCACCCTTACTTCGAAGTCTGGGCCTTTCTGCGATTCACATGGGATGAGAATCGAGAAATGGCCGATACTTACAGAGACTGGACGCTCTTATCACATACTGGAGATGTCGTGCCCAGCATACCATATCTCCCGGTTAGCCTCAATTGATCAGAATCTTGCCTCAAATTGCACATCCATTCCTTGCGTAGCCAAACGCAGAAAACAAGCTATTAGACCTGCAAAGGATCAAGGGGGAGAAAATGAGCCAAAAAAGGACCGAACTCATTACTCGCAGAATTCGACGGATCGAACAGCCGATGGAAATCATAAGATTGACAAAGTAATCTCATGAGGAATTTCAGCGGACATCACAGGCTTCACCTCATACAACGGCAACACCGGTGCCGCTCCGGCATTTGCGCCCCTTCGGGTTTTCAGTGGATGTCTAGTAGCTTGCTAATGATTCGGTCACACCTCTTCATACTGCGTCATTAAGGAGGATAGTGACTTCCCGAGGTCTATTGTCCCCCTCATCGGCGAGCGCCTGGACTCTGTATCAAGGGGCCTTGTACCGCCGCTGTATGTGTTTGGAGCGCTTCTGTCGAGAATCTGGAGACATGGAAGGCTGCATCTCTGTGAAACCCAAAGCGATGAGCAACTCTAGTCGTGTGATGCTGTGGGACTCGAACCGAGAACGAGGCTATTGATGTTTGCTTTACAGCGCAAGCCCCTTGTTTGATTCTAGAGCTATGAGCACCAGTGACTCTTATCATATGTGAGGACCTGGCTTTAAAATGGGCACCATGGCCTCCCTGGACCCCAGCTCAGGATGCAGCCTCGGCATTCTGGACAATAGTCTTTCCTTCTCAGTCTCAGCAGGATGTCTCTTGTCATTGCTCGTTCAGCCAAGAAGGAGCCTATAGAACCTATCTCGCCAACAGATTCCGATCTTGAGAAGAAGACTCCAATCAGCGTAACACGAATTCTATCATCTACAGAAAAGTCAGACCTCGGCGATGGATCTGACAAACATCGATTCTGGTTCCAGCGGTCTAAAGGCGATACCTCGAACGTCATCGCTACCCAGCCATCGGTCTTCGATGACCCGGAGTTAGCAGAAGAATACAGACCTCGACCAGATTGGGAAAACATCCATCGGTTCGATCCATCGGCGAGATGGACATGGGGTGAAGAGAACGTGTGTCAACAATCATGAATGAGGATCACTTCACAACGAAACTGACAGCCATGTAGAAGGTTGTTCGGAAGATCGATCTTCGTATTACCTTATGGGCTTCTGTAATGCTTATGGCAATGGAGCTTGATCGATCCAATATCCGTACGTGCTGTCAATCCAAAGATGCGACTTTGAAGATCACTGAACATGTATGAGCTCAGAACAAGCCAATGCGGACAACTTCTTGAACGACTTACGCCTAACTCGAGATGGTCAGTCTGCGTAAGACATCAACTCCATCTTCAACAGGCTGACAGAGACTTCTATCACTTCAGACTATAACTTAGGGAACACGATTCACAGGCTATGCTACCTTCTCGCCGAAGTACCTGCACAGATCATGGCAAAATGGCTCGGCGCCGACAGATGGGTTCCTATTCAGATGACATCGTGGTCGACCATCGCTCTGTGCCAGTTCTGGCTTTCTGGAAGGACTTCCTTTCTGTGCACAAGGGCTCTTCTGGGGTTGCTATCCGGGGGATTTGTGCCAACGGTCAGTGGCCTCGGTTTCGCAAACATGATAAGTCTGTAGTGCTCATGTATGACAGATGATCCTCTACCTTTCCTACTACTTCAAACACCACGAGCTTTCCATACGACTCGGCTTCTGGTATACAGCATCTTCTTTTGCGGATATCCTGGCTGGGTTTTTCGCTTTCGGGATTCTGCACCTGCGGGGAGTTGGTGGTCGTGCTGGTTGGCGTTGGCTTTTCTTGATTGAGGTTTGTGGCAGGTCAAGTTCGTCTGTTTCGATGCTCATTATTCACACACAGGGACTACTCACCTTGACGCTTGGTCTCCTTGCTTTCATCTTCATGCCACCGTCACCAACACAGACAGCGAATTGGGCCCGGGGCAAGAAGGGATGGTTTACAGAGAGGTATATCCTTTTACTCCCATGGCACACTAGAACATGCTAATGATGGCTTGTGGATAGAGAGGAGATTATCATGGTCAACCGTATCATCAGAGAAGACCCCAGCAAGGGTACCATGCATAATCGCCAGCCGTTGACCCTCAAACTTATTTGGCAGAGCTTCAAAGACTACGATCTATGGCCCTTGTATATCATTGGACTTTTGTTCATTATACCTAGTAGTGAGTATATCACACTATTCAACCAAATGGATCTTCAGCCGAAGTCAGCTAATGTCAACAGCAACAATATCCCAATACTTTACCTTGCTCTTAAAAGATTTTGGATTCAGCACTTTTAAAGCGATTCTACTTTCCATACCATACAACGTACGCAATTTCAAGATCAGCCACCAAGTTCTACAAAATACTGACTTCTGACAAGGCGATGGGCGCTGTGACCCGAGTAGCCCTTGTCTACGGAGCTGAGGCCTTCGAGTCCCTTGCGTATATGGGCATTTTAGCCCAGCTTTGGATGCTGCCAATTCTCCTTTATATGAATGCGGTTAATTTCAGCCAAACCAACAAATGGGTCGCATGGACAGTACTCACACTGATGCTTTCTTTTCCAAACCGTAAGCACCTTTTGGCCCAAAAATCCTCTGGGATATAACTAACGACAATTTCTCCTCAGCCCATGCGCTTCACGCTGGGTGGAACTCTCGCAACTCGAACAGCGTGCGAACGCGGACAATCGCAGCCGCATTATATAACATGTCGTCGCAGACGTCTCAAATCATTGGTTCGAACATATACCAGGACTGTGAGTGTGGCCAGATCCATCCGTATGCGCCGTTTGTTCCTTGGCTAATTAGGCATCCACTTTTGTCGCAATAGCGGATGCTCCTCGCTATGTCGTCGGAAACAGGACGCTGCTCATCCTAGTTTGCACGAACATCGTCCTCTATGCATTGACCAAACTATACTATGTGATGCGGAATCGCCGCCGGGATATGAAGTGGCAGGCCATGACAGAAGACCAACGAGTTGACTACGTTGCAACAACACAGGATCAGGGGAACAAAAGACTGGACTTCAGATTTGCGCATTAACCAACAGCATACGTAATGATTCTTGGCCTCATACAGCATTCCAGACCCATCATTAGCAATAGAATTGAAAATTGGTTATTTAAGAATGGAGATCTGGTTAAATGAAGTTAATGAACGCCTAATGCACAAGGCGCCAAGAGCCTAAGCCTGACCGGGGCAGGTGATAAGGCTATCATCACGTGCCGGGGTCAACGCCACGATCCCAAAACGGTAAAGAGTGTGGCCTGCAACTTGAGGCCGCTGCTGCGTTTGGATGCGACGCTTTCGAGGTTCCATAAGCATTGCCCAATTATCACCTCCTCTCGGCCGTTCTCCAGCCTTTTTTGGATTCGTTTCCCGCCCAGTATCTATTTCCCCTCCCTTCCTGGTCCTGAGGGGCCTCTCGGATCCGTGTTCCTGGGCTTGATCTGAGACATTAATTCGGTTTATACTTGGCAAACGTGGCCGCAGCAGCAGTGCTTCCTGGACTACTAAAGCGCATTCTTTTTAAGGCTGCATGTCCTCGCACTCCCAGAAACTATTTCGTCTTGGAGAAGGCTGAATTGCATAGTCACGGCCCTCTATCCGACTTTCCTTGCATGGATGGTTCATCCTCTACTTCGTATTTCTACCTCCAAACACCTATCGTTTCGAGCTGCCGATTTTCGACTCAGGGACTGGTAACCACTCGCCCGTCTTCGCTTTGACTTCTAAGAGCGGCAACGAAAGTGACCAACGGTGGCTTCAAGGCATACACAACCCAAGGAGGAAGGCAGGGAACTCGAGCCGGTCCTCGAATCCCACGAATCAGATGACGAGATGTCGCCAAACAGTCCATCCGTACATCGTCCGATAGACGGCCACTCTCACCAGCCGTTGCTACAGGATGAACGTCGGCGATTGTCGAACAACGATTTTGGTCACGGTGATGCGGAAGGCAGGCCTATACTGCACCATTCCAGGCGGCCGACGATCAGGACTCCCGAGTATTCTGCGGAGCTGGCGACTCGGCGGAAGTACATGATAGCGTCGGGATTTTTGCTGTTGAGCTTGGCTAGTTTTGTGGTTCAGACTGAGACGGCAGTATATATACAGCATGAGCTGCATTGGGACAAACCATATTGCATGCTGTAAGTTGAGTGGTTATGGATTGCGTCGATCTTGGTCTGACTTCGATTTCTCTCGCAGCTATCTCACCCACGGGTCATGGTCTCTTCTCTGGCCGGTCCAACTCCTTATCCTGCGAATACAGAAGAGGAAGCTTTCCTGGGAAGCATTCTGGCGACGTCACGTTTATTTAATACGGACCACGGCACAAATGGTTGAGTCGAGAGATCTACACCTCACGTCGCGCGATTCCCACCGGTCACCGATTCCCTACATGCTCAGGACGACGGCTTTTGTGACTGTAGCTCTCACCATTGCCGGTGGATCATGGTATGTGGCAGTCAATCTGACGACGGCCAGTGACCTCACCGCAATCTACAACTGCTCCGCCTTCTTCGCGTATGCTTTCTCCATTCCGCTATTGAAAGATAAGCTGCGGTTTGATAAGGTGTTTTCGGTTGTCGTTGCCATTGTAGGAGTTCTGGTGGTTGCGTACGGGGATCGCAGCGAAAGCAAACCAACTCCGGACGGCACAGTGGGCAAAGGAAAGCACGAAGCAGAGAACAGACTTCTGGGAAACGTTATAATCGGAGTCGGAAGCGTGCTCTACGGCCTGTACGAGGTGTTGTACAAGCGATTCGCCTGTCCCCCGGAGGGCACAAGCGCCGGCCGGAGCATGATCTTCGCCAACACATTCGGCAGTCTCATCGGATGCTTTACCTTGCTGGTCCTCTGGATTCCCTTGCCTATCCTCCACATGCTGGGCTGGGAAGAGTTCCGATTGCCTACCGGCGAGGCCGCATGGATGCTTCTCATATCGGTCGCTGCCAACGCCAGTAAGTCTCTTTCACAGGTCCAATCAGCCTGTTCCTCAATGCTGACCATCCCCAGCATTCTCGGGATCCTTCCTAGTCCTCATCTCCCTCACGTCCCCCGTCCTCTCTTCTGTAGCCGCCCTCCTCACCATTTTCCTCGTCGCCATCGTCGACTGGCTGCGCACGGGGCAACCCCTCTCCGCTGCATCGATCATCGGCGGTCTCCTTATCATCGTCGCCTTCTTCCTCCTGAGCTGGAGCACCTACCGCGAAATGAACGAGGAAAAGAGGAAGAGCATTGAAGCCGAGGAAATGGAGTCCGAGTGCGATGACTAGAGACTTGTGTTGACATTTTATCTAATATACCGTTCATGGGTTTTTAGTAGAAGTACATCTCTTTTGCATGTACCGCTCTGTTTGCTATCGGGATCTTGTACATATTTACTTCTGTTTCCGGGTTTCATAGAGGGTCTTGTTTAGATGCCATTTCGGATAGAGGATGCGTACTGCAATGAGCAGAAGGGATAGTGCAATGGATGAGCTTTGGCCCTTATTCTATGTAGTGATAAATACCTAGTGCTCAACTCGCTTGCTTACTCTAAACTACCTACAAGAATCGAACGGGCAGCTGGACGTCCTGGTAACCTATATGACATGACCTCAAGTTTGGTTGGTCTTCCAGGGAAGATTTTTTCAGAGGAGTAATGTAGAGTGGCTATATCAACACGAAGGAGTCTGATGGGGACTTTGACAGGGGGGAAGTGGGATGGGACTGTTATTGACGAAGACCAAAGGCGACTAGCTAGTACCGAGCTTGGCCAAGGCGCGGACACCTTGCTCCTCCCATTCTTGCTTGGTGACCCACATGTCCTCCTTGTCGGCAATCTGGCATATGTTAGAGACGTCGTCAAGTGAAGGTCATGAAGGGCATTGATCCTTACCAGATTGGCGAGCACGGCACCGCCCAGGAAGACCATGTGTCTCCGTCGTGGGGGGTCTTCGATGCGCACTTTGAATTTCTGCAGCGAGCTTTAGTTTGAGTCATTCTCCAAGGACGGAAGGTAGGGACGTACACCGAGTCGCTCGGGGTCTCCGTGGAGTACACGCGTAAGCCACAATTGCTTGAGTTCCTTCTCCAGCCGCGACGGCAGACCGGGGTACATGCTGCTTCCACCACTGAGGACGATGGCCTTGTACAAGCTTGAGCGGACGTCGACGTCGGCGCCCTGGATGGTGTTGAAGAGCAGTTCGGCCATACCGGGCTGGTCAACGTCCACCAGGTGCGGTTGGAAGAGACACTCGGGGGCCTCGAAGCGCTCGCTGCCTACCCGGATGACCCGGCCGTCGGGGAGTGTGTATGATTCGACGAGGACCGTGGTGTCCTCGGAAAGCTTCTTGTCGAGCTCTAGGTCGTACGAGACGTAGCAGAGCTTCTCCTTGATCTGGCGCACTGTTTCAAAATCGGCCGTACGGTTGAGCGCGTAGCCGCGGCGCAGGAGCAGAGCGATCAGGTTGCGGGTGACGTCGCGGCCGGCGACGTCCAGTCGGCGGATATGGTGCTTGAGGACGGTCGATTCGTAGACGGGAATGATATGTGTGACACCGTCACCGGAGTCGACGACCACACCGCTGCTGAGACCTGGTACGAACAAAGATCAGCCGTCGGGTTATGGTTATGGTTCGGAGGTGTTGGGCTCGGCCGCTGCACCCACCCTGAGCGTATAGAGCAAGCACGGCTTGAATGGCAACGTATACGCCTCCGAAGTTGTATCCTTCCAGCATGACCTCGCACATCTTTTCGCGGTTCTTCAGGGGGTTCATTGGGGGTTCGGTGAGAAGGATCTTGCGCCCTGTGGGGTCGATCTTCATCTTCTCGTAGAAAGTGTAGTTCCATAGGTGCTGCATGTCGTCCCATTTCTTCACGATACCGTTTTCCATCTATATTACCCGCGGAAATCAACCAATGGTTCCCGAATCAACACCCTGCTGCAAAGATGGCGACGGGAGCTCCGCCCGGGAGGGCGAGCGACCGTTCGCAACGGAACAACAGAGTCATGGGAGGTAGAACGTACAGGATAGCTGATCTGAAGCATCGATCTAGCGGCTGCCGCTTCATCTCCGCACATGATATCCTTCACCACAATGTCGCCGGCCTGTTCCTCAGTTCGCAGTATGGGCCGCCCCACTATCGAGGGGAACTGGTGCTCTGGGAAGTTCTGTAGACGAAAGACGGATGAGCATGGCGCATGATTGATATCCGGTGCGTAATGATCGACATACCTGCGCAGCATATCCGACCTTGAGGAAACCAGTTCCTCCGTCGAGGACTAGGTGTGTAGGTTAGCTAGCTGGCGGACGGGGTAAGCTGCCTTAAGAGGGAATGATGCTCACCAATGGGCATATCCGCCATGGTGTTGGTCGAATAATAAGGTCTTTTAGTTCAGTCAGTTCCTCCGTTAGAAAGCAACAGAAAATCCGGAGTGATATCTGCTGTTGGGGACGAAAGTTGTGTATGGATTGTGAAGATGAGGGGACGGCGAGGGAGTTTGGGCTGGAGTTGCGTTAAGTTGCTGGTGGATGGAGTCGATGGGCTTCCCCATAGTCGTCATTAGCGCGCCGAGCCGCATTCCATCCAGCCGTACGCATGCTAGAGGAGTCGTAAATGTCGCTTGAATATTGAATTTCTGACTCGAGAATGACCAGCCAGAAAGATTATCCATTGAGCGTATTCAATTCAAGTCGAGTGATGGAGAGTGCATTGTCGGGTAACCGTGTTGAGAGACTCCGCCATGTAAACACCAGAATAACTATCAACGATACAGTCCGAATAGTCCTGCCAGTGAACTACTTATGCATACCAAGGACAGCCTTCCAGAACATCTCCCAGGGATTTCAGAATTGGCAGGCATTCTCATGATCCAGCAGCTACAGTCTGGAAGCAGTCTATCGGCCGATGCCCTCCCGAGATCGGGACCGCCCGGTGATCCCCAGAATAAACATACCCTCATCCCATCCTTCTTCAACTCTGCGCAATAACCTCTCTCACTCACCAAAATCAAGATGAGTCGAATCGGCTGGGTAAGTCTTCCTCCAGACCAGACCAACCCAACCCAATCCACAATCTACTAAGAACCTGAACCCAGTATGGTCTCGGCTCCATGGGCCTGGCAATGGCCACCAACCTCCAACGCCATCTAGCCACAAAACGAGCCCTGAACCTGGTTTATTCGAACCGGACAATGGCACGTGGCGACACACTGAAAAGCCTAGGCGCCGGGCCCGCGCCGAATTTCCAGGATCTCGTCGCCCAGTGCGGGATCATCTTCACCATGGTCAGCCCCTCAACGCAAAGGAAAACGCGGAATGCACATTAATGGCCGACAGGTCTCCAACGACACCGTCCTGAGCCATCTCATCACCACAGCCGTCGAATCAGGCCACTCGCTCAAGGACAAGATCTTCGTCGACTGCTCGACCGTCCACCCGCAGACGGTCGGGCTGACGGTCTCCAAGCTAAAGGAGCACCAGGCTTCTTTCCTGGCTGCGCCTGTCTTCGGCGGGAACCCGATCGCTGTGGACGGGAAGCTTGTCTTTGCGATCGGTGGGCCGAGGAGCGCGGCGGAGGCCGTCAAGCCGCTCATTCAGGATGTCATGGGGCGGAAGATCATCGATTGCGGGGAGGATGCGACCCAGGCGTCGATGTTGAAGATTGCTGGGTAGGAGCCTTTCTCGGGGCAGTGCGCCGGATGGCCCAGGCTAATAGTACAGGAACATTGTCACGGTGAACCTGATGGAAGCCGTCGGGGAGGCACAGGTCTTCGCCGAGCGGACGGGCCTGGGCACCGGGCCCATGGAGGAATTGATCGGCGAAGCATTCGGTGCTGTGGCGGGTGGTTACTCGAAGAGGTTTGTGGAGCCGGCTATGATAGGTTCTTTCCAGTGGCCCATACTGATTGCTATAGACTGACAACCGGTGCCTACGCACCATCCCTCGACTCCCGTCCCGGGTTTGGTGTCTCGTTGGCCATCAAGGACGCCAATCATGCCCTTGCCATCGCCAAGGAGCAGAATGTCCACCTGCCTGGTTTGCAGGTTGCTCGGGAGAACATGTTGGCGGCGAGGGAGTATGCGGGAGAATGCCTGGATAGCAGCTCCATGTATGGAGTGTTGCGGCAGCAGGCGGGCCTGGAGTTTTGGAATGAGAAGAGCAGAAAGGGAGGACGGTAGAACAGAGATGTAGTAGTTATCAGCGTTTTATGCTTCGTGGACGTGTCGGGATCGTGTTATACTATATACCACTATTTTGAAACATATAGAACAAGAAATAAATCTTCGTTGCAGAGCGACCAACGAAAGAGATTTGGGAATAGATGTACATCAAAGCCGTAGCTCCCCTGCTCGCAATGCGCCCAGTCACGAAGTCGGCAGCCAGATAAATCACCAACTATGCACCCCATCTGCCCTTTTGCGTATGGAACAAGAGAAGAAGAGAAAGAGAGGTACATCGAAAAGAAATGGAGGCAACATGCGGACGAGACGGACGAGGAGTTTGTTGGGAGAAAGTGAGTGAGAGAAAATGTAAACGACGCTGAACCAAACTATGAACATAACGGTAGAGCTTTATCAAGGTTTGATTCTCGTGGTTTCGACCAACTGCGGATACGCTTGGGCAAAAGCTGGCCCGAGCGACCAATTGCTGAGATTTTTGAAATGTCGCTCAAAGACTGGATTCATGATGAGATCCTCATTATCACTGGTGGACAGCAAGCAGTCCGTCGCCTCGTACGGCCAATTAACGGACAGCGTCCGAGTAAATGGGATGAACCAATTCTCAAACGGATAATCCTGATATGAAATGACCAGCCGATCACGCATCCGCGGCCATGGAAGGTAGTCAATCCAAGCCGGATGGGGTGTGAGAAGTTGAGAGGGGCGAGGCGTGAGCCAGTCCGGCAGCCGCTCGTAGTTCTCTGCTGTCGGGTAGATCTGCCACCGCATGAGGAGAAACATGAGATACAAGACGGCTACTTGCTCAGGGAGGGACGAGATATCTGGGAATGTGCGAAGAATATCGGTAAACACCTTTGACAGGGGATGCGAGTAAACACTTTTTTCGGGATTCAGCAGCGACGAGACACTCGGATAAGGGGGCCCCACAAGCTTCTGTGTGGGAACTCCCTGTGCCGCTTCACGCTGACGGTGGTGAAGAAAATCCAGCAGGATGGCGTCCAATGTGCATGTCGGGGCTATGTTCCGGATCGGAGTCATGTATGCGGGCAAGGGTTGCTCCGGCACAGGACCGCTAGCCGAAGGTGTGTAGACTGAAGGCGTATCTACTTGAGACGGCCTGAAGCTCTCCGCTGACCGACGGAAACCCTCCACTCTAGGAACCTGCTGAGAGGCATCGAGCAGGAAATTGAAAGCCAGTCTCTCGTCGGTACCGAAATCCAATCCATGGGTGAGATTATGACGCTGATAGTCGAACGCGATTCGGAACGAGGCCAGTCCGTTGGTGGTATCCCGTCGATGAGCACTCATCGTAGGCGCTGAGTGTGTCGACGTCGGCGTTTCTGCGCCAGGAGTCGAAGCCGTATATGAGGGCTCGTATCTTTGGCTGGTTGAGGTGAAATGGTGAGTCTCGGTGTAATGCGGCGGATTGAAGGAAGGGTTCAGAGGTTGAAGAGGCGGAGGAGGTGCCACAGCGTTCGGGGCAGGAGGGGGAGGGAGATCTGCGGTCATTGTCAGAGGCCGTCCAGGCGAGCATTCTACATAGAAAAAAAAAGGCCCAAAGAAAACTCACTGGACTCTTGCTTCGCAACCAGCGGCTGTATGATATCCATAATCGCCTTAAACCCCTGCTTCAACTCCCGATTTTCGGCCTGAATGGCTTCATTCTGCTTCAGCGCCGCCTGGAGATCAAGGAACGGTTTCTGAGACGAGAGCTCGCGCACCCGCTGCTCAAGCGATTCGATATGCGATTTGGTCCGCTCACGGATCGCCCGCTGGGCCTGCCGATCGTTCGCTCGCTTTTTCGCCAATTGCTCGGGTGTCAGATTGGCCACGCCGCGCGACGAGGTACTGTTCAGCTTGCGTTTCCGACCTGCTGCTGTCGTAGGTCCGCCGTGGTTGTCTGCCACGGGTGTCTCGGCGTCGGCGGAGGTGAAACCGGATGGGGTAGGGGAGTCTTCCTGCTTGACGCAGTCGGGATCTTGATTCGGGGTCGGGAGGAGTGCTGAGGAGGAAGTCGAGGTGAATGGCACTGGTGCTGTTGCTGATAGTGATACTGATGCCGATGCTGCTGCTGGAGCTGGAGTGGTGCTCACGGATGAGGATGACTCGAGGGCCGACGACGGCGCCCCATCATTCAAGGGAGGCAGGCGAGTGGCCATGGCCCTCACTCGCGCGTCTAGCTAACGCCAACGGCCATTCAAGGCGACAGAAGAAAATATTGGATAGTGAAGACTGTCAAGTGGATGGATGGATAATAATATCCACGAGACGAGTCTATGTCAGCGGAAATGTGAATGAGTCGACATCCGGATAGATAGAATTGGGCGGGGTATTTGATTTTTTATTTTTTTTTCCCAATCTCAGCCTGGATTGTCCTCCTCTTCTGCCTCTGATGTTGCTGCTGCTGCTGCTGGTTTACATGGGGGCTGCATATTTTCAGCTGTTCGCGATTCGAACCATCTTTCTGAGACCAAGACCAGGACGACACTTTCGGAACAAAGTGGAGTTCCGCCCCAAACCTTCAATCGCCGTGTCACCCTTGGGTCTGTCTGTCTCGGGCTCTCCTCAACTGGGGATTCTGCGATCGTCGTCTAGAGATCCATTCTCGTTGATTGCAGGGTGATCAGGGTCTGCAGGGTCTAGTGACTCTAGTCTCATCAACCACTATATTCTTGACCACTACTCCTATTCGGTCGGATATCGTGGAACACGACGGTGATCGCAGCCCAGGCCGATCCCCCCTTGTCTTTTAGACTTACAGTAGAGGCACTAGTATAGACCGGGGCTTCTACTCCGTAAAATCTAGGCATCAAGAATAATCGCCACCTTACGCAATTGACTCAATCCGCCGACGTCTCGCCGACATGGTACAATTGCCGCATGACTCGTTATGCACTGCAGTAGAACTAGTACGACTAGAGAGAGGCTAGAGCAGTGTTTAGATTCTTGAGGATCGAGTCTCATTTTATACGGAATATATCTCGACAAATTGTGGACGCATGGCCAATGCCGAGGACATGATATACAAGTGCGCTAACACCCCAGTTTATGTACGGTAGAAAAGACAGAAACGAAAAATGCGACCAGAGTGTTTGCGCTGCAGAGCCGTGACATTATTGACAAGCCATACCTTATTATCTTGTCTCAATTCCAAGAAGAGAAAAGCGTACTCCAAGGTTACAACCGAAAGAACGACGGATCATTGGAGCAAATGACCCATTTTGGATATCTGGAAGAGTGAGAAGTTGCTCGCTGACGGGAACACAGCTGATTTGGAAGCAATTGCCGACATACCTTTGTTCTCAGATACCCTTCGACTTCTGAGCTCTTGATTCCCATCTTTCCACCAGACCTCCATGCCAATGGCACCATCGGCACCCGTTCCTTCACCACCACTTCTCGGTTAGGTCCCTCGACCGCTCGAATCTTATCCGGGTTGTTTGTAAGTAGCCTGATGCCATGTGGATTCGAATCTACCCCTAGGCCGAGGTCAACCAGGATTGCCGTAGCCAGACCGTAACTTCTTGCATCCGCCGGGTGTCGTAGCAGAAGATTTGCTTCCACCGTGTCCGATCCAAGATCCTGGAGATTGTACGCTTTCAACTTCTCACCCAGACCAATGCCCCGTCCTTCCTGGCGCAGGTATACAATCACGCCGCCAGCAGCATTTGACGGCACCGTCATGGACTGCTGCGACGCAGCCTCGGTCAATGTCTCCATGGGCAGCGACATGAGTCTCGCCGCCTCGTCGAGCTGCTCGCCACAGTCGCAGCGTGCAGACCAAGCCGTCTCACCAGTGTAGCACTCCGAATGGATTCTCACAAGAGGCGCTTCGTTGGGGTGGCTCTGAGGCGGTGTGTGCGGACTGGATACAGCGCCGCCATCTTCCGGGCTGGCAGCTTCTCCGGCTTTCTCCTCGTCATACCAACTGCTCACACGGCCCGGACGGAGTTTCCCGATATACGCACCGCGAATCATGCGATCCATCTCCGTCTCGCCAGGTCGGACCTTGTCCAGACTTCTGCTTCGAATTGTATTTCCAAACACAATCGCCAGATGCTCCTTGTTGTCCAAATCATTGTGGTACAGGTGGAGAAACATCTCCGCGCCCGTTGTCGTGGGTATACGAGCGCGGACGATACACTCGACATTGGGAAGGCGAGAGAGCAGCCTCGGGGGCTTCGTATGTGTTGACCCTTGCCGTGCGCCGGCTAATTGGGCCTGTTGGAGGAGCTGTGCGGTATTGATCGAGCCCCCGGGGGTTGCTGGAGGAGTGAAGGAGGGGGAGAGTAATGATGCGGGAACCGCGGGGGTCATGTCCCCGCGGTCGCTGTCGGTGCTGCTGATCTGGCTGGCAGTCTCATCTCGAAGTTCATCTAATCTGGAGTGAAACGCAGGGGCTGATGTAGTGTTCGAGTCTAGAGAAAGCTCGTCGACGGGTCGCGGCGTGGCAGGCGATTGCGCCCCGAAAGACGGAGAGGCATGGGACGGTAAATTCGACATCGCGATGACGGATTGGGGGGCGAAACGACAAGCCAAAATAGAGAAGGGTATCTCAACCAATAATGAGCATTACAGATGATAATATATGAAGAAAAAGCACGATTGATCACTTCAGCACATTCTCTGCAAGGAAAAGAAGACGATTGCAATCATATTTCGGTCACTGTTGGACATGGATTCGATCTTCGGCTCCTCGGGACATCCGCAGCTGCAGTCAGCGGGGGGAGAAGATGCGCTGACTCATCAGCCATCTTCTTCCATCCTGTCATTTGTCAGGTCTGACGTGATCCGCGGATATCATGTGCTTTGGAGTCTCTCCTCAGTCTAGCATCTTCTACGAGATGAAAATGACCCGACCAACTAGATAGAGCTGCAAATCATATTCATTATCGTCAATCTGATGATATTAAAGCACAAGAAGGAAGAAAAGATAAACCCAGCCTCAACACCAGATCTCAAACCCAGACTCCTTAACGGCCTCTCTTTGGCATAATTTAACAACAATTTAGCTCAAGGGTATCATCAAAACGGAGTCATCCATAGTTCACAGTCCCATCTTTATTCATTTTCCCGGAATGTCTAGGACGAATCGTCGATCGACCTCCATTTCCTTGTCATCTTCTTCGCCCTCGAATTTGAGGCGGTAGGTGTCCTTTTTCGTACCCATCACTTCAGCACGGTAGAATGTAGTAGTGTCTGGGTATCGTGCTAGAACTTGCTTCCCTACAGGGAAAACCGGTAGTGTGGATCCGACCTGGGGAATAGGAATCAAAGATGCAGCAGTAGTTTTGTAGACAGCGCCTTGTTCGCCATTCTCATTTGGCTCGGGGTCTTGGACGTCGTATCTAGACGTAAACAGGTCAATTTCTTTGCGATCGCAGAGGGCGAGCGACGATGACATACCTCTTCTTAGGACCGTCACCGGAGATTCCCTTGATGATACACTGGATCCCCTCGCCTTCAACGCCCTGTTTGTTCTTGTTATGTTTGAAAACCACTTCTGCACCAATGACCAGTTGCCCGTTGCGCTCCGCAATGGTGCCTCTGATGCTTTCCGCCGTCTCCTCAATTTTGACCATGACACTGTCACGAATCTCGCGGCCGTCACGGGTCTGGGGACTGGAAGCACTGGCACTACGTTGGACGCCTTTGATGCGGCCAATTTTGTCCGATACAGAGGGGCCCGAGGGACCGGGCGAGTCTGTCGCTGATCCATCCACATCGTTTCTCTTCTTTCGTGACTTGAGCAGAGAAGCGGCGCGATTGAATGGAGCTTCCGCTTCGGATGCTTGACGAAGCGCTGTCAATAACCCCAGGTTCTTGATCACGTCACTGGGTTCGTCTTGAAGGATAGCTCTCTCTTCCTCGCAGAGCTTGGACATTTGACGATATAGGCTGTCCAGCTGGTTATGCTCGCTAAGACTGGGTCCTGTTCCAAAGTCAGTGACAGTGTCCTTGAAAACCGTGCGCACTTGAGATAAAAGTGCCAAAACAATCGGTATCACAATGGTTGCCGCGGAAGCGGGCTGTCAATCGAAACAGTTGACTATGTCCTAGACACCGATGGAGAAGGGGGTACAGCATACGACCACAATACTGTAGTCCGAATAGGATTGAAAGTGCAAAGAGGCGAAGAAAGCAACTTACTTCCACCGTCTTTACCAATCTGTTCGTTCAATGCAGCAATCTGCTCAGCCACGACTTTCTGCTTGTCATTCTTCTCCTTGGCTTTGCGTAGGTCCTGTAGAATCTTGTTCCACATATCGGTCTCCTCATTAGCCGCAAGACCATTGTCTCTAGGCACAGGAGGACCTCTAGGCCGATTCCGCGACATCTTGTGGAACGGGGCCTTGGGCAGCTCAACAGCCAGCGACGGCTCTTTACTGCTCTCGGGAGACGCAACGATTCCTGACTTCTTGCGCTGTTCAAGCTTCAACGCCTCCCACTCAAAGGCGGAGACGATCTTCTGGCGTGCGCTTCGTGTTCCCCGAGCCGCACCGTGTCTCTGGTTATGCGGACGGCCAGCGGGGGTGCTGTTGGAGGATGATTCTAAGGGCCGAGATTCAGCAGTGGAATTCTGCTGGCTTAGTTTCGGCTCAGAGCCGTTAGATTGACCGTGTCCCTGATCAGAAGGTTCACTATTCCCGACAAACCCCCCAGAGCGGCGGCTAATAGTAGTACTGCTCTGACTCTGGTCAAGCGCGTTGGCCGGGGACTGCTTGGCGGATCCGATCACATCGCGTTTGGCAGAGGAAGAGGAAGTGGAGGAGGCCAACTGGGGAAGACGCTGATTGGCGGGTGCCATGACGGATGCGGTCAGCCAAATCGGGATTGGGTCCGTGTCCAGGGCAGTAAGGTAGCAGTAGCAGTAGCATAGGTGGAATTACAAGCTTCTGGAGGGGCAGAGAGAAAGAAGAAAGTCTTACAAAAAAGTGATGCAGAGTGCTTTTTAAAAGATTGACTGTTTCCTGCTCAGTGAATAACAGAGAAGTTTTTTCAGCGCTAGTCGTGGATCTTTGTTGAGTAGTGCTCGCGAGATTCACTGCATCCATCTTGTGTTTACTTGTGCCTCTGATTGCGAGAATTGAATTGCCCCTCACCAGCAAGAATGCCTCCAGTACCACTACTTCGACTCCAATGCGGTAAGTTTTTTGTCATTGTCATTTGCGATTATCCCAGGATGTACGGAAAAGCTAACGAATATGTCTTTGGGAAGGTGTCAATAGCTATGATTGGGGTAGGATCCATATGGTTGTTCTACACTACGAAGCAGACACTGAGATATCCTCATAGGCAAGGTCGGCCATGAGTCGGCTGCTGCCAAGTATGCAGCAACCACAGCAGCTTCTGATTTCTCAATACAGTCAGACAAGCCTTATGCTGAGGTACTTTCTTTCTTCGACATGGCTACCGACGACGATCGAAAAGCTGACCCGATGACGTAGTTGTGGATGGGCACACACCCCTCGCTCCCTTCGAAAGATCTCGAGACTCAGCGCACCTTACTGGATATGGTTCAGGACAACCAGGCATTGATCTCTCAAGAGGTCAGCGAACGATATGGCGGAAAGCTTCCCTTCCTGTTCAAGGTGCTGTCGATCAGAAAGGCGCTCAGCATTCAGGCCCATCCGAACAAGAAGCTGGCGGAAAAGCTTCATGCCAAGGATTCTCGCAATTATCCAGGTCAGTAGACGCCTTTACGCAGCTTTTTGCTGTCATTCGAGATTGCATTCCACTGATATTGACTCCTCTCAGATGACAACCACAAACCCGAGATGACCATCGCCATCACCCCCTTTGAAGGTCTTTGCGGCTTCCGTCCTCTGGCTGAAATCACCCACTTTCTCAAAGTGGTCGCGCCTCTTCGTCAATTGGTAGGGGAGCAGGCCGCCAGCGAATTTGAGAACACAGTCAAGGGCTCCGAGGAATCGGACGATCCTGCGGTGACCGAGAAAAATAAGCAGGCTCTCCGCACCCTCTTCACCTCTCTGATGAGGTCCTCTCCTGAAAGTATTGAGGCCGCAACAAAGGAACTTGTCGCGACCGCCCAGAACTCCCCGGAGACCTTTGCGACATCATCCAGCACACCGGAGACCAACCCCACTAATCCCGCGGAACTGGCCGCCATCACGGTGCGCCTCAATGGACAGTTCCCCAACGACATCGGCTCCTTCGTGTTCTTCTTCCTCAACTTTGTCAAGCTGGAACCGGGTGAGGCTATGTTCCTCAAGGCTGATGACATCCATGCGTACATCTCCGGTGACATCATCGAGTGCATGGCCTCGTCGGACAACGTTGTGCGGGCAGGCTTCACACCCAAGTTCAAGGATGTGGATACGCTGGTTGACATGCTGACATATTCCTACGCGCCTATCGCTGAGCAGAAGCTTGAGCCTACCGACTATCCCTATGCGATTCTCAATGCCCCTGCTTACTCTAGCGCCTCCTCCTGCATTCTGTACGATCCCCCAATCGAGGAGTTCAGTGTGGTCAAGACAGATCTCAAGCGGCAAGGTGCCAAGGCGACGTTCGATGGAATTACGGGCCCAAGCATTGTGATCTGCACCGCCGGAGCGGGTAAGATAACAGTCGGCCCCAAGACTGAGGAGGTCAAGGAGGGCCATGTGTTCTTTGTTGGAGCCAATGCAGAATGTATTATTGAGAGCACAGGAGAAGATACCTTTACTACTTTTAAAGCGTTCTGTGACTTGACCGGGAAGGAGGACATGGTGAACGGAAACTAGATGTCGGTTGCAGCTCGGGGGCTGGCAATTGAAGCTTAAAGGCATAACTCGAATGACTTTCCATCTATTTCTTTCAACGAAGCTTGCCTTCCTTCCATTTCAGCGACTCTGGTCAATATTTTGGTTCTAGACTTCTCGTTGGGTGATGTATGTAGCAGACTCCGAAAACAGCTGCTGCCGACCCAGTATGTGGAATAGCCGAGGTTAGGAATCTACCAATATCATGATCAAGTCGCGCCACCAGAGTCCAGGCTCGTCCAGAGAGTCTCTGAAGCTTTGAACCGATGGACCACTGCAAATTATCTTATGACCGATCGCCCGAAACTGCGGGGATGAACCATGGAATGCGGGGAAGAGCCCTTATTCAAGCCTTGGGATATCCCAGCGCCCCGGCCTTTAGTATCAGGCTGTCAAGCAGCATCCATCTTTCTTCTGTGCCGTCCAGGTTGTCTGTGAGATAGTCATCGACCATTCAAGATGGCGGAACACCCGGATAATGTCCATCTCACACTGCTGGAGAAAGCCGACCTCATTCCCGGCTACCTCTCCGTCCTGGCGACCGCGCTCTACAGCGCAGTCACTGGCATCTTTCGAGGGAGCACCGGCGCAAAGCAATACGGTGTCCATGTCGGCCATGCGATCGTGAGGAAGATGGTGATGAGGTTCTCGACGCGGCAAATGCAGTACGTGTATCAACATCCACCACTCGGCCCGTGAATACGATCGCTGACGTTCGGAACCAGGTCAATGGCCCTC